TTTGAGCTTGTTAGTCTAAGTTCAAGACCTATTGTCCTTAACTTTTGAGCTTGTTAGTCTAAGCTTAGGACTTCAGGACCTATTGCCCTTAACTTTTGAACTTGTAACTGTAAGTTCAGGACCTATTGTCCTTAACTTTTGAGCTTGTTAGTGGAAGAAAACAAGCAATGAAAAAACAAGATGAAACTAGGCTAACCAGTCAACAATGTCATCAATCCTCTCAGGCCAGTGACATGTCAAAAGAGTAACAGTCCCACACAAAGCATACATATCTGCCTGTTCTGAGAAGCAACAAAGCTCACTATCTGCAAACTTGACTTAATTAAGTGCGCAGCGAAGCAATTTAAGGCATATCAGTGGAGAACAATATCAGTGGAGAACAATACAGATCTCGTATGAAGTTTAGTAACTCTAAGTGTAAAAGGGAGCATATAGAGAGATGTTCATCCAAGTTCAAACTTGACATCGTAATAAAACTGTTCTATGAATTTGTCTTAATTAAATTCTTTTTAGATGGAAAAATTCAAAGAAACAAACTAATAAGCTCATGACGAAAAGTCAACAGCAGGAGATCTATCTGAAACCTCAACGGACGGCGGCACAGTTTTTCTCCCTAACACATGAAAGAGATAGAACAAAGGGTAACACAGTCTTTTCATATTAATTTTAATATACTAGTAGCTACTATTGCTAAGCATTAAAAATGCTAGATATAAAAAGTAAATACCACTTTAAAAAGTGGCTACCTCACACAATTTTTACCCTAAATACATCTAGCTGCTCTAAAAGATCATAACGACCAATTATTATTGGAAGGAATTCTGAAGACGAAATTACTGTTTTATTTTTCAAATAATTGAAAGTTCTTTCAATCAAAGTAATAATGTATCAGAAGGTCTAACGTTAAGTAACATCAAAATTTGTGATTTCCAGAAGTTGACTGGTAGCCTTTTCAATTTCATTAGGTAAATATACACGCACACATGTATCTGGAATAAGATATTTGGATATTCTGTTCCTCTTTTTTTCCTTTTCAATCAAATACCCAGAAAGGAGAAAAGGTTTAGAAAAGGCAACTCAGACTACTTTGCTAAGCCCTTTGCAATATATATCTTCGAGCTGTCAATACGGGCTAAGCTGGGCCGGCCCACTATTTCGATAGGCCTTAAAATGATCAGCCCGACCCTAACCTACGTGGGTACAGGGTCCCACGGGCCGGCCCACTATCTTTATAAATTGTTTTCCATATTTTTTAAACCAAAATTGCAAAACATATATATTTACACGCCAAAAAAACATATTTGTCGGATAGCAAGTTTCTGCAAAACTTAATAACTTTTGATATTGTTTCAATAGATTACTATAAAACACAAAAAAGAGGACAATATTTCATTCATTAAAAGTCAATACTCAAAATAAACTATTCAAAAATATTTTCAAGGTGCTCATGGTATATCCAATGCCAATAAATCATCTTCATCTAGCACATTGAAATTCTCTTGTGAAACAAAAATGTCTTAACATCTTCATTTTTTTTAAATCTGTAATTATATGCAATGTTAATTAGTTAAAACATTAAAAAATAACTAAAATTTTAAGGACAAAAAATATTTGTATTCACATAAAAAGTATTACTAGTTTAGGATTGGATTACTCTTCTTGTTATTTTAGTTTCTTCTTTTTTTTATATTTTTAATTAAATACGTTATTAAGCCCACGGGCTGAGCCAGCCCAACCTCGATCAAGCCTCATGGGCCACGAGCTTACTTGGGGCTTAAAAACCTCGTTTTTAAATGAGTTCCAAATTTTTTAGCCCGGCCCTATTAAATCATGGGCCGGACCGGGCCGGCGGGCCAAGCCCATATTGATGGTTGTGGTCTTCACGTAAGGTAAAAAATAGCATGGGCTAGCCAGTTTTTGGTTGGTAATTGAAAAATAGTCAGCGTTTGCAAAGTCATTGAAAAATAGCCACTATTTTGCTGCAATACGGAAAGTTCCAGCATAATATACTGGAGATTGATGCACCTGTGTATGAACTTCCATCATATTATGCCGGAACTCCGGAACTCCAGAACTCCAGTATATTATGCTGGAATATTTTTCGGATTTTGAACAGTGTTTTCGTTCAGATTTATCTTTACATGAAAAGTGACTAAATTTCGATTATTTTTGAAACTGTGGCTATTTTTCAATTACCACTTGTAAATCAAACTATTTTTGAATTTCACCCCGAATGTAAGTCCTTACTTGTTTGACTCAAAAGATTTTTAACTCTTTTTAAGCAAATCAATCAAAGATGAAGGGGTAAATCGTAGTCAAACTTAATTAATATCGGATCGAAAGATTGAATGACCGCAATTGCAAATTAGATGAGTAGAGCACCAAAAGATCTTATTCAAAATTGAGCGCAGCCTTCCCTCTCCGTAGAGGGGGAAGAAGAATTATAATTGTTTTGCCCTTTTCGGGGTACAGGGATTGAGCTCACTCCTTCTTCTTTATACGGAAAGCCCTCTTTTTTCCCCTTTCCGGTGGAGTTCTGTTCATCTCTTTATTTTGTGAGGAATCCCCCCCCCCTCCTTTGGGGCTTACTTGCACTTGTATATATAGTCGAAAAACCCTCTTACCCTTGCCACGACCTTACGACCGTAAGGTCTCCTGGTTGTTGTTGTGTAGAATGTCTTAAAAGAGGGATTGGATTGACTCTATTGGCTTCTTACCCGATGGCAAAAATGCGGTCGTGACCGCCCTAATCGAAGTGGTCAGATTTTGACCAATACATTATAATAGGCAAAGGAGTTTGTGTGCATTATTTTTAGTGTACTCCGATTCATAACGTTAAAATATCTTTGCAATGACAATTGTACGCTAGCGGTTGGGCATATATTTGGTTGAAACTTAAAAATAGAGTTGTTGAATTTGTGTTGAAAAATAAATTTTGGAAGATGAAGTTATGTTTGGATTGCATTTTATTTGAAAAAGAAGTTAAAGTTTTGTGAGTGGAAGGGAAATTTTCACCAAAAAAAACCCTAAACCAGTTTTGGAAATTTGAAAAAGAATTGAATTTTTTTCATAGATTATATTCCATGAACAAATATTGTTTTCAAAAATAATTTCAAAACAAACTGCCAAAATCTATTACCAAATGGGTCCTTTTTACGTCCGAAACAATATTATTCCCTTCTTTTATGTGAGCCAATTTAGCTAGGGATGAAGTTTAAGAAAGAAAGAAAGAGACCCTAAATTTAAGAAAGAAAAAGGAAACTTTTTTGGAGCCAGTTAGCATTACGATTCCGGAATTAGCAACAGATGGTGTCCCTTCCTCGTCACAACAGCATAACATTGAAACCGCACCTTATAAGCCAATGCGCGAAAATTTGCATTTTGATTATTATCTTTAAAAATGGTAATCTCCCACAGAGTCAAATTATCAAACACCTGGCGACCACCATGCTCAGTCCTCACCGTCATCCGTCGGCTCCGCTGCAAATTCACCTTCTCCACTTGTTGTTCAGAGTGTGATGACTTTTTGCCGTGGTTGGAACACAAGGCTGGGTTGGAGATATCTTCCTTGCTTTCAATTGGAAACTCCGCTCACTACGGAAAATCACTCGTTGCTGGTCACCCTATAAAACCAGGCGATTGCTTGTTCAAGGTTCCTTACAATGTGCAATTGGCCCCTGATAATCTCCCCAAAGGTATCGATACTTTATTCGGAGATAATGTAAGTAATGCCGCTAAAGTTGCCTTACTCATTCTATATGAGCAGAAGTTGGGACACAAATCTGAATGGGCCCCTTAAATTACTCGTCGTCCCCGGCTTGAACATATGCATAACACAATATTCTGGGATGACAATGAGCTACAGATGATTCAACCGAGTTCATTATATCACCAAACAATTATGCATAAGTTGTTTGTTGAACAAGAATTTCTAACAATTAAGAAGGCCGATTTTGTACAAGATGTGTTAACATTAGAGGACTTTAAATATGCATTCTCTTTAGTTACATCGCGAGCATGGGAAAGCTCTCGGGGTGTATCTATGATTCCTTTTGCAGATTTTGCAAATCATAGTGACCTTTCGGAGACGATTGTATTAAGTAATGAAGAGGAACAGCTCTCAGAGGTTATTGCGGATTACAGTTATGCTCCTGGTGATGAGGTGCTCATAAGATATGGAAAGTTTTCAAATGCAAGACTCCTTTTGGATTTTGGATTTACTCTTCCTTGTAATAAGTACGAACAGGTTCAAGTTGAGCTGAGTATACCTCATGAGGGCAACCTACGTCAGTTGAAGTTGGAGCTTTTGAGTAGACATAAGATGCTAATTCTTAAAGATGTCAATGGATTAAGCTCTTCTGAGAACTCGTTCGCGCTCAAGGAGGTTAGGGGGTATGCTCATGACGGTCAAGGTAGGGGAATTCCACAGTCAATGCGTGCATTCGCCCGTGTTTTGTGCTCCAGTTCTCTACAATAGATAAATGATTTGGCAGAGGAAGCTGCGGAAAATGATGGTCGACTGGCTCGGCGTCCACTCAAGGACAAGAGCAGAGAGATTGAAGCACATCAGTTTTTGCAATCAAAAATCAATGAGATAATAGAAGAGTATAATGCATCTATTAAGTCATTGGAGCTGCCTGCTACTCTCTGTATGGTTGGAAAACATGATCTGCGGAGACAAATGGCTCAATGCCTTCTCATTGGTGAGCTTCGTGTACTGAAATCTGCTGCACTATGGCTGGAAAATTATTGTGCAACTTTATTCAAAGTTTAGACGACATTCTTATGCTCATTCAAGAAGCCAAAAAAGAAGGTACTTTTGAAACCTGTGACCTTAAACATATCATAATATTTGCTTGACTATAAAAGCTTGTCTGTAAGAGTGAAATGAGAAGTTCAAAGTTAAAATTATTTCCAAATTTAAAGAGACGGTCATTCTTTATGGAATAGAGTCCAGTGGTGGCAAAATCGTTAAAAGAAAACAGTTATCCACCCATATTATCCACTAAAAAATGGGTTGGATAATAAACTTTTTAAAAACGGATCCAAATATGGATAAGAACCATATTATTCATTTTGAAAATGGATAACCAATGTGTTTAGCTTTTACGTCTGTAAAGCCTTAATTGGGGGTTATTCAAGTTTGGGAAACTAGAAATTCTCATAAAAGTGATCATATTCAAGAAGTCATGGATAATATGGATATCCATATTATCCGCCGGTTAACCCATTTTTTATTCGTATTAAATATGGGTCGGGTCGGATAATTTATCCGTTTTTTGCATTACCCGTATCCGACCCGACCCGCAATAGACTAAAAAGGAGATAATGTCACATAAGGTGGAAGAAAGGGAGTAATAATTTCTAGAAACAAAGGAAAGCTAGGAAAATAATCAAAATAATTTTAATAAAACGGAAAAGGGGGGCAAAGGTGTCGAGACAATTCTTTCATTTTCTACTTTAAGAGTTTTTGGATTTTTTGTATTTCAAAGTAGACGACACAAGAAGTAGACGACACCCATTCTTAAAGGGAAAATTTTCCATATAGAGCATCCTTATTTGATGTTATACCTAATTGTTCGTAGAGTTGATAGAATAGCATGGAAATTGGTCCATTTAGCTGCTAAGCTGAGATTGGCAATGTAATATGATACAACTATAAAGTGTAGAGAAGGCCCCTTATAATCTTCACAAAGAAATGGCCAATCAGAAGAGCTCTAGTAAGAGTTGATGTGGCTCATCCTCGCAAATATATGGCTAATCAAAGGGGCTAATACACATTTTGATCTCGACCACGATTAATAAAAGAAATTCAGTATTTAAACAACAGGAAGATATTCATCGAAAACAGATGAAAATAGAAGTCTTCCCTAGCCAAGTACGTAAATTTATGGTGGTTCTGTTTACAAGTAAATTTGGGTGTGGATAGAGAACATCAGACAATGTCCATAGAAAATTATATATACTTTACGTAACCTTCAGTGTAACAGGTTTTCATATAAACAGGTCCCGCCGATGCCCTGCCACACATTGCCTGCCTTTCTTTGCCATGCATAAGGTTGGATCAGAGAGCCAAGAAAGCGGGAATATCCAATCCACACTTCGCTTTGCTTCCTATATTTCACATTGCACATTTTACTGCTGCCAATTATATTGTTGTTGGTTGCGATTCACATTTGAGCCACGTCCAGTGCCAGAAGCTCCATATGGAGGATAATTTGAACCTCCGANTGCTGCCAATTGTATTGTTGTTGGTTGCGATTCACATTTGAGCCACGTCCAGTGCCAGAAGCTCCATATGGAGGATAATTTGAGCCTCCGGCACCATAACTGCTACCTCCACCTCCCCGGGGACCAGCAGCAGGCATTCCTCCTGAACCATATTGGGAACCCCTTCCTTGAGGTGGATAGCGACCACTGCCATAAGCTCCACCTTGGCCACGAGTAGGGTGACCATATCCTCCAGAAGGATTTGCTCCAGCTGGATATCTGCTTGGCCCTGCTGGAGGTCCATGCGGCTTCCCGTAGTGGTGGCTCGGTCCGCCAGCAACCTGAGGTTGGGATGCATGCAATGGGGGATTTGGGCCTGGTCTCATTTGAGGATGTCCCTGCCCTGACTGCTGAACCGGTGGAAGCCGACCATGCTGCTGCTGGTGATGCAGTTTTTGGCGTTTAGCTGCTTCTTCGTGCTGCCTCTGCTGCTGACGCTTTTTCTTTGTCTGGAACTCATGTGAAGCTTCATAGGTTGGCAAACTGCTCAAGCAAATAATTCCTAATTAAAAGAACTAGAAGAACATATTGGGAATTCATAAAGTGATTCTTTGTACTAAAGAAAAGAGAATCTCTTTTTTGATATTTTTAAGGAAAAAGGATTATCTAGACAGAAATACCTCTTTGGATCGCATGGTAATGGATCAGTCCAGAAATACTCGGCATCAAGTGCATCCTTGGCTGAAATTCTCTTCACAAGATAAAAAGTAGAAAAGCAAGTCAGTCAGGACATTCACATCATTCATAAGACCAGATCCTTAACATCCAATTGGCATTGGAATATAATGGCACACATTTTTAATGCACAAAGATAGTGTTTGCTCATGCAATGAGACTATTGCAGAATATTCACACTTCAGCTGGCTAGCAGGTGCAAATTGCACAGGCGGATTCTGCATCTCTTTGGCCCCTCCCTGGGGGAGAGGATATTGGAGGGAATGTTGACTACGGGAGTCAGTCAAATTACTAGCATCATCAGTGCACTGAAAAGCCCAATTCTTACAAGAATCAATAGCAATTCCGCGTGGCCAAATTTCAATATAAGATGGTTTAGGCACCTAATTAACTTAGATCAAACATCCCAAAAAGATCATACCTTTAAGAAATAAAATGAATTATCACCGAACTGAATTCTCCCAAAAATCTGGTTATTCTATGAAATATTTTGTACAGGAAGTAAACTGTTAAGTTCATTGGAAAATTGCAATGAACTATACAAGCAAAAGAATACATGTCGTATTTTATTTATTTGTCTTCCTCCCCCCACCACCACCACAAAATAAGGCCTGAAAGAAGTAACAACATAAGTAGAAAATATGATGAGCCCATGTCAAATATATGTTTCAACATTGTCTTGTACTCCATTACTTAAAACAAGCAAAATAATGACATGCATGCCAGAGAAACTGATACCTGAGACGGGTCCAGGGTCAGCATCTTGTCAAGCAACTCCAAAGCATGTCGATCAAAGCTAAAGCCACAGACACAATGATATAAATACATGAACAAGATCTATTTAACACAAATAACTATGCTGTGGAACTACAGCAAATATAGCACACCATATATGGTTTACTTACTGTCTGAAAACCTCCCTTAGACGTCTTTTCAATGGCCTTGATGGTTTGAAATTGTTATACCATGGAATCTTGGAAACTCCAGGCCAATTAACCTCATCTGGAGCACCACACAGCTCAAAAATCTTATTCAACTGCTCTGGCTGAAATCATTGTTAAAGAGGGTTATTCACCTAGAAGTCCGACACAGCCCAAAGTCACATTCAGACATGGTAGTGACTTTTAGCAGGTTGTTCAGGAAAAAAGAAAATTGTCATTACACAAAATATCACACAGCTTTTAAGCTCCATAACAAGTAGTTTGAAAGTACTAATTAATTTGGATTTATGCAGATACTGCAGCTTCTGTTTTTTAAATACTTGGCAAACAAGTGTAGAATGAAGATCTTCAAATCTTGTCATAAGCTGGTGCACCAGCACAAATATACAAGAACTCTAACGGTGAATATTTAAAGATGCAACAAATTAAGTGTAGAAGCAATCAGTTGTCTTGAACAGACTTGAGACTCGATGATTAATCAGGCATGCCATCGGCCAACCAGAAGTCAGACGTAAAGGAACACCAGACACATACATACTTATTTAAAAAAAAAAAGAAGAAGTACACATTGGGAAAATATTAACACATCACAATTCTTTTCAAGCGGAAGCTGTTATTATTTTTCCTAAGACTTTAACCGAGTCTTTGTCAGGTCGAGAATACTGAAGGAAGTGCATTTTAGTTAACTTAAAACTTACATCTTCACTACTTTTGTAAGATTTAGGACATTTAACCAATAGAAAACATCAGCTACCTCATCCTTCCCTGGAAAGATTGGTTTTCCATGAAGTAGCTCAGCGAAGATGCAACCAACCGACCACATATCAACGGCTGGACCATACTTTGTGGTCCCAAGAAGCAGCTCAGGTGGTCTGTTTGATATACCACAAGTCACCACTCACGCGAGAAGAGAATTTAAAATGAAATCCAGCTTACCCCAAAGGATCAGTGTCACAAATCATACCTGTACCATAAAGTAATTACACGATTTGTAAGATTTGCATTGTGATCATTTGAGAAGGATCGAGCAAGCCCAAAATCGGCAAGCTTCAAATTGCCTTTGTTGTCAATCAGAAGATTGGAACCTACAGGGAAAAAGAGTAGCCTATATCACCACATTTAGAGAGATTGAATTTTAGAAAATCAGCATGAATTTCCTAAATCAAACCTTTAATATCACGATGAAGCACTTGATTCACATGACAATAGTGAAGTCCCGTCAAAAGCTGTTTCATGTAACACTGCAAAAGAGAGAATGAAAATCAACATCCCACTCGCCATCTAATTGCTCGGAAATGGTACCAAACATGTTCAAGACAAATTACGCTACCTTAATCTGCGGAACTGAAAATCTCATTCCAGGACGATCAGCAAGCCCAGTCAAATCATGGTCCATGTACTCAAAGACCATGTAGATTCCACCTTTATACTTGTTACCATCTGCAAATGAAGTCATATTGTTACTTCAAATATGACAAACTCAATTAAAGAAGTGATATCAGGACCGGCAGTTGTGGGGTTGGGGGGGAAGGGTACCCAAAAGCACCATATGAAACTAAAACTGAATTTAAAAACACTTGCCTGGCCTCCCTTGCTCATCCTTCTCAGGACCTGCAACAATTAAACATTTGATACTTTCACAGGACTGTTCATCACAAGATAAAGAACAATAACAAAAGAAAAGGCTCATACTCACTAAAACATCATTAAAATATTAGGGCCTTTGTATAATGTCAAATCTGATATCAAAAGGACGTATTTTGTGATTCAGTTTCGTCCCGTAATTGAATATAGTTGGATATTGGCGAAGACCACAGTCAATGCAGGCAAAACTTAATGCATTAGCTGCGGAAAATATAAGAAATATTTAATAAGGTAAATAAATACTTGCTGGCAATGCAATTGCAAGGGCAGAAACTTTTGTATTGGTTCTTTATTAGTGGAAGAAAAAGCACAAAAGGAGGGCACATAAGGAAAAAAAAAGGACACATAACTTTTGTATGTTGCTTTCAAGTTCACGTAAATAAGGGAAGGTAGTAAACAGTAAAAGAACACAAGATGAAAGCATGTACATTATTTATATCTTACCTGGAGATGTTACAATCTCTTTCAGATTAATCACATTTTCATGGTGCAGCTTCTTCAAGATTTTGATTTCACGTATAGCAGTTATTGGAAACTGCATAAGAACATTAAGAAACACTTCAGAACAACGTATTCTCAAAAGATAACCTTACACCCTTGAATAATCAGTGAGACAAGAGTTTGAACTTTGAAGGAATTAGCCAAACGAAAATCATACTAAAATAAGCTCACCCCTTCTCTTTCGTTGTCCATGCGTATCTTCTTCAAAGCAACAATTTCCCCTGTTCTAATTTCTTTAGCCATGTACACTTGACTGCAAGGTAAAAGATATGCACCATTAACAGTTGTACATACAATGGTCAAACTAAAGAATGGATAACTAACTACTCCCTCCCTTTCGATCTAACAACCACTTTTGCCTTTTGATTTGTATTAAAATCAAATCCACTTCCAGAAATACAGTATAGGGCATCAAAACTACATGTTCCCACCAGTAAACTTGCCAATAACAAACTTTTCTGTCTCTTATTCCACAACATTCAAAAGAAAAACCTATGACCCATACATGTTTCCCTATTGACATAAACAGCATATACTAATCGTACTCTTAATAACTATGCAAATTTATAAAGGAACTCAATATAGCGTGGGCGGGACAGAGGTGTAGGAAAGTAGAAACTTAAATTCCACAGACCTAATGGGACAGAGAGCATAAGTCTCAGTTAGATGAATTTGAATATATTAATATTGAAAATTCTCCATTAATATTTTGAATATGTGAATTATTTTCATCTATAAAATATCGCTCCTCATAGAATTCGTTCAACTCATGATTAGACCAAAAACTTGAACAGGCATGCTAACTGTTGGTACCCCTAATCTGACTGATTACCTAATATTCTTCATATTTGGTTTTGAATGTTCTCATAGGTAGTCTTTTGGTAAGTGAATGTTAAAACCAGTTGGATATAGCTGAAACCTTCCATTATTGGGTTATAAGAGTGTGGTGTGAGGCAATCTCAGAGTTTCCATGAAGCGCATGCGATATTTCATACTCCCTACTCCTTATTAAGGATATATTACATTAGTGAGATAAATAGGCAACAAGATAAGGAGCTGGAAAAAGGTTTCTCACCATCTATCCTCGATTATACCTTTTAGAGTTAAAATAGAACAGGAAAAGAGTCTGCTCTTTCTTGTTAAGATGGTGCAAATCGATTTAACAAAAAAATGTACTAATTTAACTCTGTCTTTTCTTTTGTGGTCGAGATAGTGTTAATTGAATGTCCCATCTAGCATGATGTTGCCAAAGATATGAAAACTAGAATTGAATGCCTTTGGGGGTCTACATATGTGAAAGGGAGACAGAAGGTGCACAGTGTCTCTTCCTAATTGACCGGTTATGGCAGATGACATTTTTTATAAGAAGGGGGTTATGCCAAGAGCAGTGAAGGAACCTTATTTTGTTGGACAAGAAAAGGAGTTGGAAAAGGCAAGAAGGGGATTTGGGATACCATCCCACCCTGTATATGGTGGTTAGTATGGAAATTAAGGAATTAAAGATGTTTTGAAAGCAGAAAGGAGAGCACCTAAATTGAAGTGTTTTTTTTCTTCTTTTTTTAAGGTACCTATATTGAAGTATAAGAGTCTCTTTTTTTGGCATTTTGGTGTAAGCTGAAAAAATGGACATGACGTAGATAGCTTAATAGAGTTTGTGAGACCTCACGAGCTAGACTAGTCGGGAGCTGAGGTTTTGTAAGGTTCCTGATGTACCATACTGCACCAACTTGGTGCAGATTGAGATCAATACAAGTTTTGCTACATACCAATAAAAAACGAAAAGAGAAGGTCTACTCTTTCGATGAGACAGAAAAAACTTGGAACTTCGAGCTGATTTTTTTTTGGGTCAGCGACACTATAAGCTAAAATACTGCTTTACTAACCTTTGAGCTCACAAACACCAGATGTTTTTAATTTGCTGAATATCTACGTTTCTCACAAATCACAATAGAGTTACTAATTTGCAATTGATTGTGGAAAAGAGAATACACCAATTATCCTTCTCTTCCAATTTCTCATCTCTATCCCTACCCACAAAGACCAAAAGGAGCCCAAGACTAAAAGTTGCGGCAAGCAGAGCCCTAATCCACAAATTCTCTAGTACAGTTGATGAAATTTTAAATACGTACAATCAATTAATCAACTACACTTCAACACTAAACTAGTTATTCGTTCCTTATTACGTTGAAGAAATAGATAAAAATAGAAGAACTGACCCGTAAGTGCCTTCACCAATCTGCTCCAATTTCTCGAAACAATCAACGGTCCGAGATCCCCATGTTGGAGCTTCCGTAAGGTTCAGCTGTTCCGGTGCAGCTATCGCCATTTAAGACTAACTTTTTCGATCCAATTCCTCCAAAATCCTCAATGATTTCAGCTATAGAAGAATACTAGGGTTTTGATTAAATTAAAGGTAGATCAAACCAGGAATTGTGAATAAAGGGAATATATATGAAGAAAAGCAGGCAGTTTGGAGACTGGTGGATTGACTCTAAATTCAACAAAGAGTATGATGGAATCTCAAAAAGGAGAAAAAGAAAAAGACGATAGATATTTGGGAGTAAAGCTATAGGAGCAGTGAACAGTGAATGCTATATTTACGTCCGAATATATACTTTTGTAAGAGTTAGGTGTTAAACACTCATCTTTATTTAATGTCACAAACATATCATGCAAAAACCATGATTTTGATTAGTCTTATGTGCTTTTAAAATTAAAATAAATAAATAAGGGAAGAAGGGGATGGGTAAGGGGGTGGGGGTGGGGGGTAAGTGGATGGAGGACAAGTAGTTAAAAGAAAATTAGTACTTTTTCTGAAAAGGTTTGTAAACAAACAAAGTCGCACAAAAATTGATTACAAACTTTTTTTCAACCATTTACTGTTTGTGAATTGTTAGAATTTCTACATGATTAAAAGAATGAGCAGCTATTGTTAGTTTTATAGCATACAAAGAAATAATTATAATAATACGAGAGATGTTTTTCATAGTTTTATTGTGAATTTCTCAAATAAATATGATTTACCTATTAACTAAGAATCGTCTCTATTGTGTGAAGATAATGTTACATACATAAGTCAGTTAAAGTAAAATTTATTAAAAGAGATAGAACAAAATAGATTTCACAAAGGTTCTTCTCATCTATCCAAGCATTGGTGGATAGAGGTATCTTATACTGTTGCTGGTGGGAGGTGTCAGATATTCCGTGGAATTAGTCGAGGTGCGCGCAAGTTGGCTTGGATACCACGGTTATAAAAAAAAAGGGATTTCACAAAGGTTCTTTTACTCATTATTTTTAAATGATGGTGAAATTGATGTTTATCAAATCTGGCGCAAGTGATAACATTACTTATATATCCATAAAAACATTTTCACATGCAAGTTTTTGAAATTTGTATAAAAATTGAATGTAGAGGCGCAGAGATCTGCATTAATATGTTTGCAATGTGTACGAACATTAAATTACTTTTTTTTCTTTTACCAAGTTGTTTTTTCTCTATTAATTTTTTGGATAAGATTTTTACTGAAGCATATTTTATCGCATATTCTATGAAGAATTACATGCTATTTTTCTTTCAATAGGATTTTTAATTAATTTTTTAATAAGATTTTAACAAGGTATATTCTTTATGCATTAAACATCCATGGGGCATTGTTATAAATTCATTGAATTATCGATATCGATGCAACCTATTGGATCTGAACCTTTTGCTTAGAAATGCATCAAAATTTACTTCTACCTCTCTCTTATCTTGTTAAACTTTCCTTTCACATCTAATGTAACCATAATATAATAAGTTAGCTCAAGAAGCTACTCTTCTTCCTATGGTCTTTTTTCCTAATATTGTTTTGCAACTTGCTAGAATGTTAAGTGTGACATAAAGCACGTCTAACAATTTAGTGGATAGAGTTACATAAGACACAATTTGAACTGTACTGTCACTAATTTTTTTTAATTAAATGAGTCACAATTTTATTGTCACTTTTGAAGAAGTTACAGTTGAAGAAGGAGGGTATATCCATGCCTTCTTTACAAGAGTAGATAGAGTCAAGCAGCTAGTAGTAAAACAACTAACACTTCCTCTAAAACAAAACAACAAAACGTGGCAATAAAGTCGGTATATCAAGGCGGCTCATATATAAGCTTGCTTGATTTTTTCTTCTTGACTCGAAAAGTAGGAAGATTCCATTTGTCGGTGTTAAGTAGAACTTTAACCTGACGAGGAAAGGTATCAAAATTAGTGTTAATATAAACAACACCAGTCTTGTTGCTCAAGGAAGCCATTCTATCCGCCACTCTATTTGCTTCACTGAAGCAATGTCTGATGATTATTCCATTATTATGCACCAAAACTTTTAGCTGTCTCACATTGTTTGCAATCCTCCATGGAGAAGGCCAGGTACCAGTGACGCAATTTTGTAGGAGTAGTGAATCAATTTCACCAATGATAAGGTTGTGGCCTTTTTGAATGCATCAATTGATGCCAAATAATAGTCACAAGCTTCTGCCTAGTTGCTTGTACCTTGCCCCAACGGTTTGGAGAATGCCATCATGAAATTACCCATGCAATCTCCAATTACACCTCAAGCACCACATTCTCCATCCACACAAGATCTATCACTATTGAGTTTAACAAAAAGGATGGGAGGTCTAATCTATTTGACAGCAACGATAGAGACCTTATTGAGAAGGATGTTACTCGGATTGCAAATGTCCGACCATTCATCCCCAATTTTGACATTCCCAAAGTTACTCTTAAGATTGTTGGCAATGTTGAAAGAAATGAGAGGAATGGAGCTAGTTGTAGAGGGTCTTTCCATACTATTTTTGGCACTGCATCTTGATCTCCATAGTTCCCATAAAATGAAAGAATGAAGAATTTTAAGAACATAGGAAATGACAGAGTTCCTAGTTCTCAGATTCCAGCAACTGATAATAAGGGTCTTCATATTTACATTCCTGAAAGTAACTCCAAGAGACCCAGTAAAGTACTTCCAAATTTTTTGAGCATAGTGGCCTTTGCAAAAAAGATGCTCAACAGTCTCAGCACTATTGGTTATTTCTGCATTTAAACAATATGAACAAATAGCAGGAACATTGATACCAAACTTACTGATCTTTTAATCAGTAGACAGTCTGTTATGGATTGCCCTCCAGGTTAAGAATGATATTTTGAAAGGGATGTCATTATGCCAAATCTTGGAATCATATTGGTTAGTACTCCTATTTTGCCTCAGAAGGTTCCAAGTAGTGGTTATGGAAAAATTACCAGTGTTTGAGCATATCCAATAAGGGATATCCTCATTCTCTGGGATAAGCATAATTTGCAGATAAATAATTTGTCTTTTTATAAGTTCAGGAAGTTGAACCTGAAGGCAGGACCATTCCCATTGACCATCAATGAGAACTTCATTAAGCATTAAATTTTGATAGGTTAGACCTCTATCAATCTTTTTGTACAAAGGACCAATGTTGGACCAAGTATCAAACCAGAAACTGATGTTTCCCCTGCCAACATACCATAAAATGTTAGAGTCCACTCTCTCTTTTATGTCACACATAGCTTTCTAGCTGTATGAGTTTCCTTTTGCCCAATTCACCGTAAGGGGGTGAATGTTATCAACATATTTAATCTTCATGAAGTTGGACCACATGGTATTACTGGTTCTAAACTTCCACCATTGTTTAGCATGAAATGCTAACGAGATGTCCTCAAGTTTCCTGAAATTAGCGCCTCCTTCCTTAAAGGGAAAGCAAAGATTATACCAAGACACCCGGTGATGTTTTCCCTCCCTCATTAGCCCCAAGCCAGAAGAATCTGGTGATGTATTTCTCAATCGTGTCAATAGTGCCTTTAGGGGGTGTACTACAGCTAAAGTATGGATATTGAGAGCTAGAAGAACATATCTTATGAGAGTGGCTCTTCCTCCAAATGATAGAAATTTTAGATGCCATCCTCTGATTCTGTTGACCACCTTTGATAACAACTAGGCCGGGAATCCAAATTAGAGTAAGAATTTAAGAAGTAAATGCAGAAGCAATAACAACAAGGAATTGAACAACTAGAATTAAAGAGATGAAAAT